CTGCACGCATGCGTGCTCGAACGGCAGCTTCAGCTGTTACAGTACAATCCAGAACATCCCCTAGATATTGCCACCATGTCACTTTTTCTACCTTAATGGCTTCAAAATTGCTTCGAAATTCTACCTTAATTGCTATTTTGAATTTGTTGTTAAGGATTGATGCAAGCAGGACAAACAAAATTGGACACTTGCAGTTTTCAAAGGATGTGAATTGCATGAATTGTTGATTTACCCGCTAGAAAACAAAATTGATAATTTCCAATTGTGATCCACGACGTTAATCTTCTCTCAATGATTTTCTCGACAATTTTCAGGGGGTGTTCTAACAGACGTTAAAACCAAAAACACAATCAAAAATTCTGATAACAATAGTATTGGTCAAATATTACAAAATTGTGGCGTCACTACCTTGATTTCACACAATTAAAAAACACCAAAAGCTAACCCAAAATTTTTTTAATTCAACTACGGTGCCATCAAATCAAGTGCAATGAGTCAACTCCTTATCATTATTACCTACACTTTACCTCAAATTCATGACATAAAATATCAAAGCATCAATTTTTCACTTCTTTTCAATATCAATTTTAATTCCACATTATGACCACTTTAGCATTTCAAGGAAAAATTCTTTCAACCAAAATCGACAATCAAGTTGTGCTCCATTTTGATGCCCAATGTACTAATAAGCAACTCCGGGTCCCTAGATAACAGCGGGGTAATATAAAAGGAAATTTCTACTTCAATAAACATGACTTAAAAAAAAAATTTTAAAGTTTTTTCAAAATACTTTTCAAATAGTTTCTTTTTTTCACAAATGTTCGCTATCTGTAGAAATATGATTTGGACAGAAAGTACCAGTCAACTGTTAATCATTTAATCAATTTAAATTGTAACATTTATTCGCTAGAAGGCATTTTTAACCGAGGTTACGAAAAGTTTAAAAAATTCGACGGCATGCATGAGTTGATTTGCAACACAGGCAATGGAGAATCAGTAATATTTTTTCTATACAATGTGTCCGTCCAAACTATTTATAATTATTTTGTAGTTATTTCAATGTTATTAAAAAATAGAAAGGTGGTAGTTGGACTTAACGCGCAAATGACGGCCGCGATTAAATTTTTTAACAGGCAATTTGCGTTTAGAGTAGCTTACTTTACGAACGCCGAAATTTTTTTTTTCAAAATCAGCCTTCTCATTAAGGTAGAAACATGAAATGATATATTTTCTTCCAAAATTTAGTATGACAGCATAAAGCGCGACTTAACAATTTTACAAAGCAGAAA